CTGTGAGGGGAGCCTTTGGGTCTTCGTTTGCTGATGGGGCACGACTCGAGGGAAAAAGAGACAGCTGCAGAAATCCTCTAGTGATTGGATCTTGGAATGTGCCAAGTATGAATTTGGGAAAACTCAAAGTAGTCAAAAATCAAATGGAATGCGTGAAGAGCGGCATCCTTGGCATTAGGGAGCTGAAATGGACTGGTATTGGCCACTTTGAATCAGAAAATCCTATGTTTTACTAAGCCAGGAGCACCACCATCAAGAGGAATGACCTGAGGCATTCATTGTCAGAAAGGGTCTTGCTAAAAGCGGATGCATAAGCAAATGTGGTGAAGAAAGCTGATGGTGCCTGGCTATCAAAAGATATAGATCTGAGGGTCTTAAAAGCTTGAAGGTAAACAAGTGGCCATCTAGCTGAGAAGCAGCAAAGCCCACAAGGAAAAAGCACACCAACCTATGTGATCATGAGGTGTCAGTGGGATCAGGTATCAGGTATCAGCTATCAGGCATCAAAAAAATCATATCATTATGAATGTGGGTGAATGTGGAGTGGAGACCCAAAGCCCATCTGTGGGCAACTGGACATCCCCTTACAGAAGGGTCATGGGGAGGAGACAAGCCAGTCCGGGTGCAGTGTAGCAATGATGAAACATACAACTTTCCTCTTGTTCTTTAATGCTTCCCCCCATGCACACACTATCATGATCCCAATTCTACCTTACAAATCCGGATAGACCAGAGGATGTATGTTGGTGCAGATCAGAGCTGGAAACACAGGGAGTCCAGACAGATAAACCCATCAGGACCAATAATGAGAGTAGAGATACCAGAAGGGTAAAGGGAAGGTGGGGAAGAAAGGGGGAACCGATCACAATGATCTACATCTAGCCTCCTTCCTGGGAAATGGACAACAGAAAAGTGGGTGAAGGGAGACATCGGACAGTGTAAAACATAGAAAAACAATAATAATTTATAAATTATCAAGGGTTTGTGAGGGAGGGGGGGGGGAATAAGCTGATACCAAGGGCTCAAGTAGAAAGAAAATGTTTTGAGAATGATGATGGCAACAAATGTACAAATGTGCTTGAAACAATGGATGGATGGATGGATGGATTTTGATAATAGTTGTATGAGCCACCCACCCACCCACCAAAAAAAAGGGTCTTGCTAAATCCATTGTGAAGGACAATGCTGTCTGTGATTGAATTATATCTATCTGCCTTCAAGGAGATCCAATACATACAATTATTACTCAAATAGATGCTCCAACCACAAAAGCTAATGATGACTAAATTGAAGAATTCTACCGACTTCAGTCAAAAATTTATTAAACATGTGATCAAGATGCATTGATAGTTATTGGTAATTGGAATGCAAAAGTTGGAAACAGAGAGGAAGTAACAGTAGTTGGAAAATATGAACTTGATAGATATGAAGCTGGAGATCGCATGATAGAATTTTGCAAAGTCAACAATTTATTCATAACAAATACCCTTTTTTCAACACAAAAAGCAACTATACATAGACTTCCTCAAACGGACTACACAGAAATCAAATCGACTGCACCAGCAGCTAAAACCAGACCAGGAGCTGACTGTGGAACCAGACCATCAATCACTCATGTGTAAGTTCAGCATGCAACTTAAGAGAATTAAGACAAATTCACAAGAGTCAGAATAGGACCTCGAGTCCATCACACCTGAATTTCAAGAACAGATTTGACGCATTGAACACGAATGACAGAGACCTGCTGAGCTGCGGGAGGACATCAAGACCATCATTCAGGAAGAAAGTCATTAAAAAGACAGGAAAGAAAGAGAAGACCGAAGGGGATGTCAGAGGAGACTCCGAAACTTGCTGTTAGTTGTAGAGTAGCTAAAGCAAAGGGAAGAAAGGACGAAGTCAAGAGTTGAAGAAAATGTCCAAAGGGAAGTTCAAGAAGGCAAAGCCAAATAGAACAAAAGGTGCAAGGATCTAGAATTAATAAATCAAAAGGAAAGAACATGCTCATCGTGTCTGAAACTGAAAGAACGAAAGAGTAAATCCAAGCCTTGAGTTGCAATCTTGAAAGATTCCTTAGGCAACATATTGTATGATGCAGGAAGCATCCCGAGAAGATGGAGAGTCTACACAGGGTCACTGTACCAAAGAGTCCTAGTCGATCGTCCACCGTTTCAGGAGCAAGAACCAATGGTCCTGAAGGAAGACGTTCAAACTATGCTGAGTGCATTAGCCAAAAACAAGGCTCCAGAAACTGATAGGATACCCATTAAAATATTTCAGCAAGCTGCCGAAGTGCTAGAAGCACTCATCTATACCAGGAAATTTGGAAGACAGCTACTTGGCCAACTGACTGAAAGAGATGTGTATCTGTGCCCATTCCAAAGAAAGGTGACCCAACAGAATGCTCAAACTACCGAACAACACCACTGATATCTCACACAAGTACAATTTTGCTTAAGATCATTCAACAACAGTTGCAGCAGGACATTGGCAGGGAACTTCCAGATGTTCAGGCCGGATTCAGATGAGGATGTGGAACAAGGGATAGCGCTGCTGACGTCAGATGGATCTTGGCTGAAAGCAGAGAAGACCAGAAAGATGTTTACTTGTGTTTCATTGACTGTGCAAAGAAATTCAACTGTGTGGACCATCATACACTGTGGATAACTTGAGAAGAATGGGAATTTTGAAAGATTTCATTCAGACATATTCAGACGTGTTTCAGTAGGTAAATCTGAGGCACAAGACCTCTTCAGAGTTTTGAAAAGCAAGGATGTAACTTTGAGGACTAAGGTGTGCCATGGTATTCACCATTGCATCATATGCATGTGAAAGTAGGACGTTGAATAAGGAAGATTGTAAGAGAATCAAGGCATTTGGATTGTGGTGCTGGAGAAGAATATTGGAAGCAACATGGACTGCTAAGAGGACAAACCGACCTGTATTGGAAGAAGTAAGGCCAGAGTGCTCCTTAGAGACAAGGATGGCAAGGCTTCCTCTCACGTAGTTTGGACACCTTGTCTGGAGAGACCAGTCCCTGGAGAAGGACATCATGTTTGGTAAAGAGGAGGGGGGCACCAAAAAAAGAGGAAGGCTCTCAACAAGATGGATTGACACGGTGGCTACATCAATGGGCTCAGGCACAGGAACAATTGTGAGGATGTGCAGGACCGTGCAGGTTTTCGTTCTGCTGTGCATAGGCCAGACCCATCTCAATGGCACCTAACCAGACAAGGCTGTAGAATGGCCCCTGTGGGTTTCTCAGTGGAGTAGAACGCCGCCTCTTTCTCCCATGGAGTGGCTGTTACAGGGGTCCATAGGGACAGAACAGGGACGTCTGCCCTGCCAATGAGTAAAGCACCCTTTGGAACAAGTAACGAACAAAGGGCTCTATGAGAACCGGCGTGGGAAACACCTTCACCTTGAAGCCAGGCCCCAGTGAAAATCCTGACACAGGACTGTGCTCAAAGCTAATTCTGAAACGTGCTGGCCTGGCGCTGTGGCCCAGAGAAGACTGAAAGAAGTCATAAATAAGACTCAAGCAAGAACTGAGTTAACTCATTGGAAAGTTGCCACTCCCCCCCATCTGGAAAGGCCATTTAGAAGCTAGGAGTGGCCCCTTCAAGGTTCCCTTCTCGCCTCTCCAAGGGACAGCTCCTGAGAAGGGCTCACTTCATTTATTTTGAAGTGACTCTGTGCTTTAAAAAAACCGACTTCATTCCTCCCTGCTGCTGCTGGGGAGGGGGGAGGGGAGGGGGAGTTGTGAGTCGGGTTTATCTCTGCACCCTAACAAACCACACAGGTTTGGAGCCCGGGTACCAAACTTCGCAGTTCTGATTCAGAATGGGTACAGTTGGGTATGATTGGTGAAATACATCCAAGACCATGCCTGGCTGGAACCGAACCCACTAGGAACATAAATGTTCCCTCCGAGACACTAGGGGGCAGTGGTGGTTCAGTGGTAAAGTTTCTGCCCTCCTCACGGGAGACCAGAACTTGGCTTCTGTTGGCCAACACGCCTCCTGGCTGCCACCACCTCTCAGTAGCAGAGGTTCCCATGCTGATATTGTTAAAAATAGCATTGACCAAGAACCGAAATTGGTCTGTGGTTTATTTAATGTGCAGCTTGCAAATTGGACAAGATTTCTTGCTTGAGTGTGTGCTAGAGTGAAAATCGACATTCTGTGAAACTAAGAGCTATATTGAAAGTCCATCGACCTTGCAAGTCTGGCTAGACCAGAGGATGTACACTGGTACAGATGGGAACTGAAAATCCAGGGAATCATTCAGGGCGGATGAGCCCTACAGGACCAGTGGTGTGAGTGGCGAAACAGGGAGGGTAAAGGGAGAGTGGGTAGGAAAGAGGGAACCGATTACAAGGAACTGTGTGTGACCTCCTCCCTGGGGGACAGACAACCAAAAAGTGGGTGAAGGGAGACGTCGGACAGGGCAAGATATGACAAAATACCAATTTATAAATTATCAAGGGCTCATGAGGGAGGGGGGAGCGGGGAGGGAGGGGAAAATGAGGACCTAATGTGGGGGGTTTAAGTGGAGAGAAAATGTTTTGAGAAACAATGTACAAATGCGCTTTACACAATTGATGTGTGTATGGATTGCGATAACAGTTGTATGAGCCCCTAATAAAATGATTTTTTAAAAAAAGAAAGAAAGTCCAGAGATGGTTGAGAAAACGTCCAAAATCACAGTGGAAATAGCCACCCTGGAGACAAGAAAGAAGCTGGCGTTGTTATGTAGTTGAAACAGATCAAATCTAGAAAGTCATGACTGGGGAGCTTCTGGTAAGCTATCTGCAAGCAGGCACTGGTGCTGTGGGTTAGCCTGGGCTGCTGACGTCAGGGTGGATGGGTTGAGCCCAGAGTGCACGCCACCGGAGGAGGAAGAGGCTCTCGGCTCTCATAAGTATTTACAGCCTCGGAAACAAGCCCTTTATGAAGTTTCTGAATCGGAAGCAACTTGACGACACTGGGTTTGGCTTTTACTTTGCGGATGGGCAACAGGGGCTCTGGTGGCATCGTGGTGACGCGTTGGGCTGACAACCACAAGGCCAGCAGCCCAGAAACACCAGCAGCTCCTCAGGAGAAAGCCGAAGCTTTCCACACCCGTAAGAATAAAAGTCTTGGAAACCTTCGGGGCATTCCACCCGGTCATATAGGGTCACAATGAGTCGGAATCAATTTGGTGGCAGTGAATTTTAATTGGGGTAACCTGTAGATGGATGACATGATTGGTCAAAACAAACAAACACCTGTCAAACTCTGTCATCAGTTCATTCTGACTCATAGCAACCGTGTCGGACAAAGTAGAGCTCCTCTTATGGGTTTTCACGACTGTAAATCTTCATGAGAGCAGAAAGCCTCATCTTTCTCCCACTGAGTGGCTGGTGGTTTGCTTTTCGGCTGCTGGCCTGCTGCGACACCTGGGCTCCCTACCTGATTGGTAAGGGTATATATTTATAGTAGATGCGCTCTTCAGTTAGCTGTAGGATGGCGGCTAGTCAGAGCAGAATAGACTTTTCTAGGTATCTGTAATTAAACTTGCTTTCTCAAGAAATTGTAGGGGTCCACTGTTCAGAAGATTGATAGATAATATTGTTATTTATGATCTTCCAGGCATAGGCTACTGCATCCTGAATCTGTTGACTGTAGAGGAAAGGAAAAAAAAATGCTATAGGGTTTCTGAGGCTGCGAGTTTTCATGGGAGTAGACAGCCTCATTTTTCTCCCACAAATAAGCTGGTGGGTTTGAACTGACAACGTTGTGGTTAGCAAGTCAAAGCTTACCCAACAGCACCACCAGGGATCCTTCGGGCAAGCCCCAGAGGGACAAGTTTGCCCTTATGGAGAGGGGCCGAAAGTGGATTACAATGACCAGGCAAGTCCAGGGAGGGGAAGTTTGCCCTTGGGCTTAGACAAAGAATTAGGGTCTTTGCCTCGGCATGCCCTTCATGATTTACTGGAAATAGCCATTTATTATCTGATTTCCCTTATAAACTGGGGTCCTGGTGATTAGGATGTAGGGCGGAATGACCGTGAATGTGAAGGTGCTCACAAGAACGAGGTGCTTCTGCCTTCAATGAAAGGCTTTTGTCCAGGATGCAGGACAGAGTGTTTGTTTTGGTCTGGTTGCTGATTATTCTAAATCTACTTTCCAAAACATACCTCAAGAACTCCTCTTTCGTGTGAGTGGCAAAACAGGGAGGGTAAAGGGAGAATGGGTAGGAAAGAGGGAACACATTACATGGAACTGTGTGTGACCTCCTCCCTGGGGGACAGACAACCGAAAAGTGGATGAAGGGAGACGTCGGACAGGGCAAGATATGACAAAATACCCATTTATAAACTATCAGGGGCTCATGCGGGAGGGGGGAGCGGGGAGGGAGGGGAAAAATGAGGACCTAATGTCGGGGGTTTAAATGGAGAGAAAATGTTTTCAGAAACGATGTACAAATGCGCTTTACACAATTGATGTGTGTATGGATTGGGATAACAGTTGTATGAGCCCCTAATAAAATGTTAAAAAAAAAAAAAAAGAACTCCTCTTTCTACCCCGTTCTTCTCACAGCGTGCTCTCAGGAAGAGCACTCAATTCAGATTAGCTCTTAAAGTAGCCCTCGAAAAAGCTGTTCGGTGACACAAACTTCTATGACTGGCAAAATGTCTTCACGGTCTTGCCACTGTCTATTAAAGTCTGATGATGTAAATACCAGCTGATCAGAATTTTCTTTTGATTTTCTACATCCCTCTAAGCTCTGTAAAAATTTCCTTTCTTTCTAATACTTTGTAGGAGACTTAGTGGCCCTGTTGGGTCAGCATTGTCAGCTAACTGCAGGACTGGTGGCTCAAGCCCACCAGCAGCCTCTCCTTGGGAGAAAGCTCAGGCTATCGCCATTATGACCTGGACAGTCTCAGAAGGCTTACACAGGACCGGAATGGATCTAATGGCAGTGAGTCTGTGCGCATGGTCAGCGTCCGCTCTGTCACAAAGATATCTGGGATATTTAGCGTAACTAGCTGGGCATCATAGAGACCCTACAGGACAGGGTAGAATTTCCCTGTGGGTTTCCAAGACTGTAACTCTTTATGTGGGTAGAAAGCCTCATCTTTCTCTCCCAGAGTGGCTGGTGGTTCCGAACCACTGATCTTGCAGTTAGCAGCCCAATGCATAACCACTGTGCCACAAGAGTCTCTATGACACAAGGGTCCGCGCAAACGTTGCTTCTGCAACCTGTGCTTTCTCTCTGTCCTGTCTGCTTCCTGGGTTCATTTAATTATGACAGCCATTATTTCCTCTGGATACGAACTCCAATAACTCGATGACAGTGGATTTGGTTTGGGGGTTGGTAGGACTTTGCGGATCCTTACATGATCCTGCCCAACCCTGAGTCGTTTTGTTATTCAAGAAGCTTTTATTTGAGTTTCTAACAGAAGTTCCTGTTTGTTTGTTGTCAGAAGTGGGAATTCAAAGAAGCCTTATCTTCAGCAGGCCCGTGTTGTAGGGGAAATAAAAATGAGAGGAGATAGGGAGCCCGAAGGTAAAGTGAGGGAAAGAGGCCCCCTGGCGGGAAGCATGGGGAGTGGCAGCATATCTGGGAGGGTGATTGCAACAACCTGGGACAATCTTATCTTAAACCTGCAGGCATTAGACCGTAGGCCGCTTCTAAACGCCAAGGTTATCAAACAAAGACTCTTTGCCTAGTATTGCAGGCTGACTTCCCTGTCCATGCCCAGGCAAGACCCAGCTGAGGGGGAGAGCATGACCTTAGTGTATGATTGGACCTGAGAAGTAAGATCAGACCCGGGATTTTTGTTCCTTTCCAAATAAACTCTACTCTGCTCGCCCTTGTGGTCTGTGAGTTCAATTCTGGGTTCTCGAGACCAAGAGCCCCGGACACATCAGAGCAGTTACGACAAAAAGAGCCCCGTTTCAAATATCACTTAAAGAGAACACGTATTAAGTTTTAAACAATACAAAGACAAGACACAGACCCCTCATCTGAATGATGGAGACCATGAATACGAAGTTAAAATAGCACCTGATTGGGCTGAGCTGGAGCAGGTTAGGGCCCCCTTCCCTGCACATCCCTGGAGGTCAGCAGTGCCCCCCTGAAATGAGGAGGCTGACGAACAATGCCTGGAATGCCTGACTCCCTGAGAACCAGTCCGCCGGCCTGTCAGCGCTGAAAAACTGCATCCTGGACCATAAACCTGGCTGCTGCAACATGGACCTCCCTCTCCCCACTTTCCTTTAAAAGCCTCAGATCCTGGGCAAAGCCTGAGATTCCCCTGGGCTACTTGCTAGACCATGGGGCTTCCCCCCGGGAGCTCCCTTCCTCTCCCTCTCCTCGCTACAATAAAGCTGTCTCTGACTTGACCTACTTTGTTCTCGTCCTGTGCCTCAGTTTACCTCTCAGCACCCAAGGGTTCATTGACTTACCAAGCTTGAAAGGGAGCAATGGCGGGCAAAGGAAACTCACAAAAGCATGATTGGTGGCAGATCAGGACATCACAGTTATAGGTGGGACCACAGGCACAGGATCGATGGGGACAGGAACATTGTAAGATAGGAATGCTCACACGATTGGGGTTCTGTCCAGGGACTTCCAACCAAGGCCATCAGAGCGAGCGTGATAGGGCTTGACTCTTACCTATGCTCCGCCCTGCACTGTCCCCCCTATGGTGACCTCCGACAAGGACACTAAGAGATACTGGCCTTCCCTGGGCTGGCTGGAGAGTGGTGGTAGGCAGTCCACTCTCCAGGAAATTCTCCCTGAGGGCAAGATTAGCCGCATCCTTGGTTCATCACCAGAAAGCCTGATACTGAGCTTTGATCCTTTCGCAGATGGTGGTGCTTTGATTCCTGTGCCTTCCTCTGCTAAAGCCATCTGCATTGTTGGAAGAGACCAGGAAGACACCATTGGTATTTCAGGATTCTATCATGTGATCTCCAGCTTCACGTCTCCATGCAGACTGATTGCATGTTTGATCAATGTCAGATGGAAGAAGTTGGTAGAATTCTTCGGTCTCTTCATCACTAGTTTTAGGGATTGAGGTGGAAATTTGTGTAATGATTGTATTGACTGGACTTCTTTATAGGCATATAGATAGTATTCTATCACAAACAGCATTGTACCTCAAGACAGATCTTGAAATGTTCTTTCTGATGATGAATCTGACCCAATTCCTTTTGGAAGGGTCATTCCTGCCAGAATAAACCGTCTGATCGTCTAATCCCTGTCTCTATCTGCTCAGTAATATGTCAGAGATCATCTGTTTCATGTTCAATGGTTTACGTTTTCCTAGACTCATACCTTGAACATGCCACCTGGTGATTATTAATGGATAGTCGCAGCTGTTTTTTCTCATTTTGAATCGTGCTTCCTGGACGAATAGAGATCACTGGAGATTTACTTCGTACCCATCATTAAGCTTGACTCCCCTTGGAGGAGGCAGCTCTCCCCCTGTCCCGTTTTGAGTGCCTTCCGATCTGCGGGGCTCACCTTCTGACGCTACATCTGATGATGCTTGTCTATTCATTAAGCGCCCAAGGGAGAATCCCCCGGAACTGGGCAGTCTATGCCTATTCTTAGTCAGAAGCTCTGCTAAAGCCTGTTCACCACGGTGATGCTGTTGGTATTTGAGATCCTGGTGCCGTTGCTTTCAGCCTCACAGCAACACTGAAGCCATCACGGTACAGCCAACGGACAGGCGAGCGGGGACCAGCCCTCACAGTCACACAAAAAAGAGGGGGATCAGCTTGCTAAAAAGTTGCTCTGTGGCCTGTGCCTAAGCTTGCCATCCAACAGGAAGTCACAACATCCCAAGAGCCCCAGGCCTCTGGAGTGCTTGGAGCCTGTCCCCCTCCCTAAGGGCAAGGCTACTTAGGCTAGGGAGTGTGTGTGTGTGTGTGTGTGTGTGTGTGTGTGTGTGTGTGTGTGTAAGGAGGCAGAATGGCTGGGTCCTTCTGTGCAGACAGACAGAGAGGCAGGCAGCAGCTACAATGCCCAACCCCAGAGA